AAGTATGCCTCTGCTTTGCCTGTGTGCTTTCTTTTGGGGCTCCCCTTCTGGGTCCCTGTCTTGGTGGCCCCACCTGGTGTTTTTAGAAAGTGGGCAGGGCCAGGTGGACCTTTTGCCTACCAGAGCTTCAGATTGGCTGTTGGAGATCTGATTAACTGTGCATGCTTTTAGAAAGTTGCTTTGGCAGCGGCTGCCACCACCACCACACAAGGATCTTTACCGTATGACTGGAGATAAGTTGTGTGTATGCCAGAAAAGATTTTAAACTAATATGTTCATTTTAAAAGGAATCTTATTAGACAGAGCTTCTGTCTGAAATGTTGAAAAGTCACTATTCGAGTGATGCATGACTTCACTCACTGAGATTTTGTGGCAGTCATTTTGTGATTGTGCCCACCATCCAGTGTCAGAATTTCAAAGACGCTGCAAGCTAAAAAAGGTTAGGAACTGCCTTACTATCTTCCCTAGGTGGCCATTGGCATTGACAACAAGCTGGATGTTCCTCCTATGCTTGACTGCCTCCTTATGAGCTTGGTGGAGGGGAGCCTGGAGGGCTGTTAATTTGGACCTTGACCCTTCATAGCTAATAGGATGGCTTACTAAAGGCTGGATAATTGTCTGGCTCTAAGGCCGCAGTCACACGGACCTCTTACCGCGCTGGTTTTCCCGCAGTTCTTTTTTCCGCGACATTTTATATCGCTTGGAGGTGGTCACACGGTCCCTCTGTCTTCCGCGTCACTCACGCGAAATACTGTTCACACAGCGCGCCGTCCCCGTGGCGGCGCGTTTTTAAAAAAACAAAAAACAAAAACCCTGTGCATGCGGTTGGGCGTACATACAAACTAAAATAAAACCTAGCGCCTGTTTGCACATGCACATAACTAAAACCGGAAACACAAAAAAAGGGGGGAAGGTATCGCGGTCACGGCGGATTGCTGCCCAGATACCAAAACCGCGGATACAAAGCGCGAGTTATCGGAAAACACCTGTTCCAACGGGTGTCAAAAAACGTGGATAAAAAGAGCGGAAACCGCGGGACTCAGCCCGCCTCGGTGCAGGAGGCGAATTTGCCTATATGAACAGGAAACGTTAATGCGCGAGGGATCAGCAGCGAAGCCCGCACTAAATGTCCGTGTGACCTGACTCTAACAGGTGGTCTCAGAACAGGTCCTCCGCCTGAATCAAAGCAGTCAGGTACTAGAGGATTCTTGGCTGAGTTTGGAGTTTCTGTAGCATGCTGGTCTTTGTCAGAGGAGGAGTCTGTTCCCAGACCCTGCTCAGAGAGGAGTCCATTCCAAGTCCTGACTGATTTAAAGGGGGGGGGGATTGGGAACAGAAGGGTTAAAATGGCATGAAATAAATTGTTTCTGTGCAAAACACAGAAGTACAACCATCATGAACGACACATCAGTCCAGCCATGACAATGTGTTTTCAAATCCTGATTGACACAATTAAATCTGTTGTTAAATTTTAATTCAACAAATTATTTAACATTTATGCTTAGTCTTTAAGGTGCCATAGAACCCACTTTTGTTTAGAAATGACAGTAATTTTAACAGCAAGTAAGACTTAATCCATCCACAGAGTTATGATCCCTTTCAGTG